CGGGCTGGAGGCTTCTCTGCACAAATTAACGGAGAGCTCTGACCCAGCGGCGCCCCAGCGCCCCAGGCCCTTCCTTAAAGGGAACTACCCTGCCTGGCAAGTCCTTTCCTCCCAGCTCCCTGACAGACCAAGAGCTGCATTAAGCCCATTAACATCCACTAAATGGTCACCATCAATTTTTAATCAGAAAGAAAACCAGAAGTATGGTAAGCGAATCCCAGTAGCAAGTAAATTTAAATAACGGTCACGGGGAAATCCAATCACTTAAACCTACCCAAGCCCAAGCCCCGGGTCTGTTTGACAAGAGGAGAGGAGGACAGATATATTAATAAAGATGAAAGGCTCGCGGACGGAGCGCGGCTTCATTAACTCTTCCCGCTCCGGGAGGGGTCTGGAGAGGGAGGAGAGGAGGAGGTGAAGAGGACAGTGGCGCTCGACACGATGCCCCGGACTGCCCCACTCTCCACCTTCCCCAGGCAGCTCAGCGCAGACTGGCTCCGCTGTCTTGGGCGGCACAAGATGCGGCTGGGCCCGCGGGGTTAAGGTCACCCGATTTTTCTACGCGGCGATCAGGGCTTTGAGAGGAGAGAGCGCAAGAGCCCCGCATCCTGGCCGCCGCCGTCGCCTCCTCCTCCTCCTCGTCCTCCTCCTCCTCCTCCACCTCCTCGTCCTCCTCCTCCTCCTCCTCCTCCTCCTCCTCCTCCTCCTCCTCCTCTAGCCAGCTCCGGAGATGTGAGCCGGGCTCTGGCAGGTAGCGCTGTCCAGAGAGAACCAGCGAGAGAACGAGGGCGAGAGAGACACGAAAGTGACCGAAAGGGAGACACAGGCAGAGAGGGAGACAGAGGAAGCGAGATAGGGACCGAGGGAGAGCAAGCCGAGCCGGGCTCCTCCCGGCGGGGGGTGTGGGCAGGGGGACCAGCGGACAGACTGACTGCCGGGCGCGCACGCGGGACGGACAGACAGAGTCAGCCAGACAGAGGACACACGGACGGACGGACGGCGGGACGGCAGGACTGACAGCCAGCCAATTCCCCCCTCGGGCGGGTGGGGCCGGAGGCGGCGGAAGGGGTGGGGTGCGGCAGGGGGCGGGAGCAGGGGGGGCTGGCGGGCCATGTGGTCGCCCCGGGCAGCTGCAGGATTCGGGGCGCCCGGCGCCTCTTCGCTGCTGCCGCTGCTGCTGCCGCTGCTGCTACCGCCCTCGCAGGGCTGGAGTTGCGGGGGGCTGACCTGCGGGGAAAAGGAGCGCTGCTGCGACTTCGGCAATGTCACGTACACGGAGGTCAAGTGCTGCAAGCTGCCCTTTCACACGTTCCTGGACAACGTGGGCTGGTTCGTGAGAAAGCTCTCGGGGCTCCTGATCCTGCTCGTGCTCTTCGCCATCGGCTACTTCCTGCAGAGGATCATCTGCCCGAGCCCCCGCAGGTACAACCGGCGCCAGCCGGGCCAGCCGCAGCAGCAGCAGCAGCAGCAGCAGCAGCAGCCCCCCCAGCAGCTGGCTGCCGCTCCCGGAGGCCTGCGGCCCCAGCCGGACGACGCCCCGTCGCTGCTCCACGAGACGGCCGCCACGTCTCAGGACTCTTTGCTGGACAGCAGCAGCAGCAGCGGCCGCTGGGGCGCCTCGTCCGAGCACGAGCTGCACGCCGTGTCCTCGCCCCTCTTCCTGCAGCTGCCCAGCTACGAGGAGGTCAAATACCTGCCCACGTACGAGGAGTCCATTCTGCTGCAGGAGCAGCCGCCGCGCAGCCCCAAGGACTTCGTCCTGCCCGTGGCCGTGCTCGACCAGCCCCGAGGGGGCGACCCGGGCCGCGCCCAGGGAAGATACCCGCTCATCTGAGCGCCCGGACTGCGGGCCTTCGAACCGTCCCTCCAACGCTCCGGGCCAAGCCTTGCCGGTCCCAACGCCCCTTGCTTTCGCCGAGACGGTAAAGGCCAGAGACCTCCTCCCTTGGCTGGTGCTCTGAAAAGTAAGATACCGGGACAGGGGGCGTCCGGAGACCTAGGAACTGCTCCCCCTCAACAACGACTGCTGCTCTAGGAGGGGCAAGGTACCAGGGCAAAGGGCGTCCAGAGACCTAGGAGCTGCCCCCCCCCCCGAGAATATTATTGGAGGGAGGCAAGATGCTTGGGCGAGGGGCGGCCAGAGACCCGGGAGCTGCCCCCATCTCCTACCCCCGCCGCGGCTGCCCCTTGGAGCAATGTGGCTGCAGGGTTATCAAAAATTCCCGCCGCCTCTGCTTTCTTCACCAGCCCCAGCTTTACACCTTAGTTGTCCTGCTCCACCTTACAGAGACACTCGTGACGTGAAAGGATTGGCGAAGGGGGAGCGCCCCCGCCCTTTCCCTGGGACCTTAAGTTCCCTCGGATTTCATTCTGTCCAGTGGATAGCTCTTCAATGCCATCGGTGTGTCCCAGGACCTCGGAGAGCAGCTCTGAGAATGACCCACTTCCCTTACGCCTTTACTATTAATTGTATTTATCGTTAAGTGCCTGGTTACTAGAGCATCACAGTGTCAGTCTCAAAGACCTGCATCTCCTCACAGCGTTGCGGAGCTTTTCTACGGGGACGAAGAAGAAAGGGATGGAATGAATATGTCTCCCCACCTCCTTCCCCAACCCCCTACCCTCAAGGTTTAAATCTGGGTTTAGGATTGCAGGGTAATGAGTGACTAGTCTTCTCAGTGAGTAAATCCTTCTCTGCCAGGATGTGAGTCCTTCTAAAAATGGTGTCGTTAGTAAATCACGTCAAATTAGCTGATGTTGCTAGCCAGAAGAGGGAGGTGTGAAAGGAGGGGAGAGAAGAGAGAAGGAAAAAAAAAAAGCCTAGGGAGACAGAGAGAAAGAAAGGTGGAGGGAGAGCTGGGAAAGAGGAAAGAGAGAGAAGAGGGGAGAGAAAAGAAAGAAAGGAGGGTGATAAAGGGAAGAGAGAAAGTGGAGAGAGGGAAGAGAAACGTCAGGAGAAGAGAAAAAGAGAAGGGAGGAGGAGAAAGAGAAAAGGTGGAGAAATGGGGTTTGTTAGTGAACAAATGCCAAGTTGGGGATAATAAGATACCTCCCACAATTGAAACACAAAAATCATCTTTAAGAGTGTTGTGGAATGTTAACCGAGTAAATATGGCAGATTGTTACTGTTTATGCATTGAAGTCCATATAATTTTTTTTATAATTTATTTCATCAATCCAGAGGAAGACCAGTTACTGTGTATTGCCAATATTGTATTCAAAATAAGATACAGTTGGCCTTTTCATTTTTCAATACCTGAAAAAGCAAATTACCTTCATTTGCTCTTTATTATTTATATTTTTATAATTTATTTAATGCAAGAGGAGGGTATTTCTGCTACTTAAATGACTAGCTAATGTTTATCATCTCCCTCAAGCCACAGGCTGCCAGGAACTTGCTTTCCCAGGCTGTCATGATTATTTCAGGAATACATTGGGTGTTGGTTCATTAGGAAAAAGAAAACTTTAGGACAAAAAAAAAATATGAGCAAGAGATAAGTATGTGACATAAATGTTGAGGATAATAACCTTATTTTCACTATTTGAGAGGAATATATTTTATTTTTAGTACTGTGGTATAAGATATAACTTTTATAGCAACTGTACATATTATGTAGTCTACTGTTAGCCTCCAATAGGCCTCCACTGCACCCATCATCCCATAGGTTAGAGATTATACAGATAATAGCTATATTTATGCCTTGCCATGGAGCATTCTTTTATCATTTCTCATTGGGAATACATTCCACAAACTCCATTGTAACACCTCTGGCTGTGACACAGGATCTCTTAAAACACACACATACTAATTGCTTTGTGGTGTAACATTTGTGAATAATAAAATAAACAATCTTATAAGCATAAAATTTGCAACATTGCATCAACCCTTTCATTCTGTGGAATGTCTTACAAATAAATAGTAATATGAAATGCCACTATAGGCTGGATGCACTGTGTATGCTGTATATATACATATTGTCTATGTATAGTATACACTCTGAATAATGTATGCTTGTATGTTCAAATTATGATATTGAGCCTCATGAATGGACAAATGGGTGCAAAGTCCCTCTGTTTTGGAAAAAAAAATGGTAAACACTATTGCAAGAAAGAGTAATTATCAAGTCTAACATGTATATCGAGAAATGTTGTTCTTCGTATTTAAAAATTCTGTTAGAGGAATTTGTAAAACGTCACAAATGTATTTGCAAAGAATGGTCTGATTACTTTGAAACTCCTACATGTTTGTGCATTTGTCATCATTTGAAAAACATTGGAAGGATGCTAAAGATAGTAAAGCATTAAAGTCTCTCTCTACACATATTTTTATACGTGTGAATGAATTATATGACTGAATATTAACGTCCAAAAACACTTTTGCAGTTTAAAAGCAGTTCTAAACAGTACACTGTCTAAAATTGTCTATAGTTGTGTTTATGCTGGGCAAAATAACACAGGATTTAAGAAAATCTCATGAGCATTAATGTTACTTTGTTACCATTGGCTCAAGGCTTGTAATTTTAGCAATATTCTTCCAGCAATACTTCTTTTCACCTCTACCTCTACCCCCAAGAATCAATCAATCAATGAATAAACATTTATAAGAAGGCTACCAAGTGACAGATATATGCTGGATACTGGAGATAAAAAGAAAAAAAGCAAAACAGTCCATGCTCTCAGGAAGCTTACAGTTTTGCCAGGGAGACAACAGGTCCATATTAAAGTGCATGCAAAAATAAATAAATAAACAAATAAATGCTCTATGATGCTGTGATAAAGCACTTCAGTTATTCTGCAGATTCTGCAGTATTATGGTGTGGGTCAGGTCAGCAGTGGCAGGAAAAGAACCTTGGGAGCCAGAGCCCTGGGCCTGGTACTATTCCTCTTCACCCATGTGATTTTAGGCAAGATCCTCAGCTTCCTCAGGTATAAAAAGGTAGGGGTGGGCAAGGGGGAAGGACCTAAGGTCTCTTCCTGTGCTAAGCCCCATGATCCTATGTTTCTCCACGTAAACAGTCATGCAAATAACTGCTAGGTGGGACAGTGGATAGAGCATTGGGCCTATAGTCAGGAAGAGCCGAGTTCAAATCCAGCATCAGACATTTACTAGCAGTATGATCCTGGACAAGTCAATTCTGATTGCCTCAGTTTCCTCAACTGTAAAATGGGGATAATAATAGCATCTACTTCACAGGATTGTTGTGAGGATCAAATGAGATGGTATTTGTCAAATGCTGAACACAGTGCCTGGCACGTAGATGGTGCTTAATAAATGCTTATTCCCTCCTCCTCCTCCCATCTCACACATAACATCATTTGTATTCTTTGACATTGGAGGTATAATAATATTCTATTGCCTTTAAGAAGATGAGTTTAGTTTTTCCAGATGGCTACCTTCTGCCGAGCTCTCTGATTAATGAAAATGTTTTTATTTGGTTCTAATTTTGATATTTTTCTTGGATTTTATTGATTAAATGTAATACTCATTCAAGCGCAGTATTGCAAGTACTGTGGATAAAAGTCTAATCCAAATAAAGCAATGTTTGCCGCTTTGTTTCAGAAGAAACGAACCAGAGCAACGCTCCTCTTGGGGTTCATTCTACCAGCTTGCACTGACCAGTAGAACGCTTGATGGGATGAGGGACCATTATTTCTTTCAGGTTCTAGGGGTAACACTGTGGGTGACTGTCCTCTTAAAATGTGATGAGGGAACAGGATGGTAAAAGCAGCATCATCTCAAGGCCCTGGGAAACCAGGAGGAGCATCCCTGTGTTAAGGGCAGCCTTGATGGTGCAGTTGAAAGGTCCCGATGTTCACTTTGTCCAGGATGCCAGTACCCATAAGGCAGATTCTTCAGTAGCTAGGTTTGGGGATTTTTTGGTGGAGGGATGATAGCGGGCAAGAGGAGGGTTTGCAGGTTAGTAAATACACAGATAGCTCCTTGAGGGCGAGAGCTGTCTTCAGCCTCTTTTTGTGCCCCCAGTGCTTGGCACAGTGACTGGCATAGAGTAAGTTCTTAATAACTGTTGATCGATTGATTGATTGACGATAACCAAACCTATACCTGGGGTCCAAACTCCCTAAGAGGAACCCATTGCTTGTATTTTCAAGAACAAAGTATTAAAATGCTGGGGACTCATGGTGCAGTAGAAAAAGAATTCAGTCTAGAGCTTGAGGATGTGAGTTCAAATCCTGACCCTTCTATTTACTACTATTGTGACACTGGGCAGGTCATTTCCCCTCCATTGACCTTCGTTTCTTCATCTGTACAGTGAAGGGGTTGAATGAAATGACCTCCAAGGTCCCTTCCAGCTCTGAATCCGTAATCTTCTGACAATCCAAGTCCTGGGTATTTTCAGAGATTAGTTCCAAGTAGGTAAATAGTGTTTCTGACTCTGCCAGACCTCTATCTGGGTCCCTTCAGAAAATGCTGGACAGCTAGGTGGCGCCATAGTGCGTAGAGCACTGGAGCTGGAGTCAGGAAGACTCCTCTTCCTGAGTTCAAATCTGACCTCAGACACTTCCCAGCTGGGTGACTCTGGGCAAGTCCCTTCACCCTGTTGGCCTCAGTTTCCCCAACTGTAAAATGATCTGGAGAGGGAAGTGGCAGAGCACTCCTATATCTTTGCCAAGAAAACCCCAAATGGGGTCACAAAGAGTAGGACCCAACTGAACAACAACAAATACAATGCTATTGGTATTTGGAAATATGCTGCCCCTCCAAATACGATCACTTCCTTTTACCTTTTCTTGTTCCAGTCCAGTATTATTAACTGAAGGAGAACGTCTCCCTGATGCAGCAATAAAACGGCCTATTAATCACCACCACATTGC